TGTCTTCACCACGTTGTGCCAGACCTGGAAGCAATAGCTCTACAGTATTGATCCGGAACAGTAAATCCTGTCTGAATGTTCCTTTGGTCACCATTTCATGGAGTGGCATATTCGTGGCCGTAATTAGCCGCACATTGACCTTGCGTTCTTTGCTCTCTCCCAGACGGGTAACCGTTCTGTTTTGCAGTACACTTAACAATTTTGCCTGCAGCGGTTGAGATAGATTTCCAATCTCATCTAAAAATATCGTTCCTCCATCTGCCAGTTCAAACCTGCCCGGTTTATCGTCTTTGGCGTCTGTAAACGCCCCTTTTGCATAACCAAAGAGTTCGCTTTCGAAAAGATTCTCATTCAGGGAACCCAGATCTACATGCATGAAAATATGATTTTTTCGTAGAGAATGCTTGTGCAGCTCATAAGCGAAAACCTGTTTCCCTGTCCCGTTTTCTCCCAGAATCAGGACATTGGCATCCGTTGGTGCCACTTTAACGAGGGTATTTTGCAGGTGTTTAATGGGAGCTGAATTGCCAACAATATGTTCGAACTGCCTGGCCTGATCCTTTTGTAATGAGGAATGGATCTTTTCCAGTTTCTTAACCTTTTTGTTGGATTGCCTTAAACGGGATGCCGCCGATAGGGTAGCGAACAGCTTTTCATTTTCCCAGGGTTTAAGAATAAAATCTGTAGCCCCCTTTTTTATGGCCTGAACAGCCAGCTCCACATTTCCATAGGCTGTCATTAAAATCACGACATAGTCTTTATCAATGGAAAGGATATGTTCCAGCCAGTATAACCCCTCACGTCCGTTACTCGCGCCTTTCTGATAATTCATGTCCAGGAGGATAATGTCTATCTCGTTATGACTGAGCAGTACATTGATTTCCTTAGGAGATTTACAGGTAACGACCTGATTGAAATGTTGTTTTAAGAATAAGCGTGCACTCAATAAGATGTCGTCATCGTCATCGATTACTAAAACATTTGCATCTATCATTTTTATGAATTTAACTGTACGGTTTGGTTTTCTTATTATTCATTATATGGCATCAGGCATCATTACCTTAATCCTGAATTTCCGGAGCGGCATCAGCTAAGGTGGTGCTTCTTATAAAAGCCCAGGCAGAAGCAATGGTCAAAAATAGTAGAAACTGTTCGATGCTGTACAGCTAGTGTCCGATTATGAACGGTTTTTGATTGATCTTTGGTTTAACTTACTGATAATTAGTGGTATAAATATGTTTTTTTAATTGGCATACCCTTGGCTTATGGCTAATCACTAAGCGTAATACAAAAATGGATAAGATCATAGAGAAAAAGAGGTTCAATAAAAAAACAATATTAACCATTGCAGGGGCGATAGTTTTAGTGGGACTTGTGGCCTATGGATACAGCCTTTCATTAAACAAGGTATATAAAGCAGATGCAGAGAAAATCACAGTGAGCAAAGTTCAATATGGGGATTTCGAGGATGTTGTACTGCTCAATGCAAGCGTAGTCCCTTTAACCTCTGTAATTGTAAGTTCACCGGAAGGTGGTACCGTAGCAGAGATCTTTACTGAAAACGGAGCTTCGGTGGTGAAAGGAACTCCATTGTTGAGAATCACCAATCCGAATGCCTTATCTAATTATACTTCCAGCGAAACGAGCATTACCGAGCAGATCAATCAATTGAGAAAGCTGCGTCTGGATCTGGAACAAAATCAGAGGGTGATGAGCCAGGATATGATGGTAATTGAAAACAGTTTGAGAACTGCGAGCAGAAAGTATAAAATCGACAGCACCTTATTTGCTAAAAACGTCATCACCCGTGAAGAATTTAATATTTCAAGTCAGGATTACGAATATTTCCAAGGCAGGAAGACGATCCTGAAACAGGCGGTGAAACAAGAGAATCAGGGAAGGGTAATGCAACTCAAACAAATTGATATTTCCATTGGCAGGATGAATGAAAGCCTGGAAACGATCAGACAGAATATAGAGAATATGACGATTAAAGCTCCTGTGGCCGGACGTTTATCTTCTTATGACCCGGTAACAGGGAAGTCTTATGCCCCGAATGAAATGTTGGGTAAGATCGATGTATTGCAAGGCTATAAATTGCAGGCAGGGGTAGACGAGTATTACATCAACAGGGTGAAAGAAGGGCAGAGTGCTAACGTAGAGTTTAATGGCAAAACCTATAAATTGACGGTCAGAAAGGTGATTCCAGAGGTTACTGCAGGGCAGTTTCAGGTGGAGTTGGTGTTCGAGGGGAAATCTCCTGATGAGCTGAGAAGGGGTCTTTCTATGCAGGTGAAACTCACCTTGTCTGACAACACTAAATCTTTACTCATCTCGCAGGGACAATTTTTCCAAAGTACCGGTGGCACCTGGGTGTTTGTGGTGAAGAATGGTAAGGCCACAAAAAGAAATGTGAAGATCGGACGTAAAAACTTCCTGTACTATGAAGTATTGGAAGGACTACAGAAAGAGGAGGAGGTGATTACTTCATCTTACGATCAGTTCAATCAGTATGATATTGTAGAAATTAGCAAATAGTGCATTAAAGACATAAATTTAGGTTAGTGTGCCCAGGATTCTTGCGTTGATCCGGGGCGCTAACCTTCCTTAAAAAGAACGCTTAAACGGATAAAAATATAGCCATGATAAAAATAGAAAACCTGGAAAAAGTTTATAAAACTGAAGAAATTGAGACTACCGCTTTAAATGGGATAAACCTTCATGTTAAAGAAGGGGAGTTTGTCTCTATTATGGGGCCTTCAGGCTGCGGAAAATCTACCCTGCTAAATGTAATGGGCCTGTTGGATAAACCAGAAAGTGGCAGTTATAAGTTCATTGATACTGAATTATTGAAATTAAACGATAAGGAGCGCTCCAACTTCAGGAAACGTAATATGGGATTTGTGTTCCAGAATTTCAATTTGATCGATGAGCTGACTGTTTTTGAAAACATTGAGCTTCCCCTGATCTATAATAAGGTACCTGCTACAGAGCGTAAACGGCTGGTCAATGAGATTATCGAAAGGATGAACATCGTGAATAGAAGTGGACACTTTCCTCAGCAGCTTTCAGGTGGACAACAGCAACGTGTGGCGGTTGCCAGAGCATTGGTGACGAAGCCAAAACTGGTATTGGCGGATGAGCCTACAGGAAACCTGGACAGTTCCCATGGTAATGAAGTGATGGAGCTGCTTTGTGAATTGAATGAAACAGGGACGACGATTGTGATGGTGACCCACTCTTCTCATGATGCCAGTTTTTCTAACCGGATCATCAACTTAAAAGATGGGCACGTGATCTCTGAAAAGATCAATAAAAACCGTACAGAAGAACTTATATAAGTATTACCATGTTCAGACTCAATCTAAAAATAGCGTTACGAAACCTTTGGAAAAACAGGGGTTATTCTACTTTAAATATTTTTGGACTCTCTATTGGATTGGCAGGATTTATTATGATCCTGTTGTTTGCCAACCATGAACGGAGCTACGATACCTGGAGCCGGGATGCAAAAGACATTTACCGGATTTCTATCAAATGGGG